CTGAAATTTTAAAACTTTACCGTGGATAATACGCAAAACGGCATTATAATAATAATACGGCCTTCTCTATAGCAGCCGGTTGTTGATCGGCCTTTTTAGCGCTACCTGGCGGAAGGCGCGCAAACCAAAGTGCMGTCAGATATGGACTCACTTTTGAGCTCGAGTGACTACACCGTTTTATCTACATCGTGTAATAAAATAATCTCTGCTCCATGAAAATATTAGATTTTAAAAATTGTCGTGTTCAACCTTGAAAACTAGTTTTTAACTTTTCTCTCTACGCCATGTCCTAACTAAATTGAAAATTCGTGCGTTGCGTTTAGACGTTCGCCCGCAACGCACGAAACGCAACATATTGTGGCAAAATTGACGTCGATGAATTCACACCTTCAACGTGCAAGAGGTTGTAAAGTTGTTGGCAGTTGTACATTTTATTTTCAGTAGTTAACATGTTGTTAACCACCGAACAACGTATAATTGTACTATCCGAAAGTTTGGCGGTTAAACTTTTTATTTTGAAAAAAAAAAACCGCAAACGTAATCAAATTTATAAAGATAGGTTTGATTTTGGCGAGTTTCATCATTTGTATTCAGAGCTACGCGCTGATGATAATTTATTCTGTTCTTACACAGTTACACACGAATGAGTACAAGTACTTTTTACTATATAAAAGAGGCAATTGAAAATTAATGTTATCATAAAACAACCAATTTTAAAATACCAATTTCTGTGTAAGAGACTGATTATTAGGTACTTTAAGGTAAGCACATTAGTTTAATAAATAACAAATCAAAATGATTAATAGTTTTTATATTATATTAACAATAACATAATATATTAAAATATATAACTAATTTAATTAAACTAAACTGGATTTCTGTATAGGTAGCAGTATTGYCAGTATTATATTAGCATTAAAATAATTAAATAAAAAATAAAACTTTTAAAATAATAAATTATAAAAAATAACTGTATTACAGTATTAAATTAGCATTGTAATGATTRAATAAAAACTTTTAACTTATAAAATAAGAAATTATCAAAATAACTAATTGTATATTTTAATTTTAAATACTAGAATGTGAGWCGTCTGAATACTGATAATTTGTTGAAGATGGTGGTATGGAAGTGTATGTTGGATGTACGGTAGAGGCTGATGGAATAATGTAATTTTGGTTATGCGAATTTGTCGAGCCGAAGTATTGCTGTGGGGGTACACTTTCACAAATCAAAATATTTTGGATCTCGTTTCTCACTCGTAATTTTCGGATGGGGCACGTT